AGTCTGTTGTTAACAGAGTAGCTTCCAATGACCTGTATTCCTTCTGTTGTTTAAATGTAATGAAAAAAGAAAAACACCCGTCATCTTGATTAATGTCAAGATAACGTTTAAGCCGTATGAGGGAAACGTAGGCAAATAAAAATTACTTAAAAATGCGTCAATTGTTACAAACAAAGATATCGACTATTAACAAAGACCGAGTATTCAACTCATTTTTAAATTCCTTGCCATGATTTTATTCGTTACAGATCTCAGACCAAAGTGCGCACATGAGCAAAACACGAAACGGCGTAACGGTTCACTAACCTCTCGGTCAGTCTCCGCACTTTACGCAAGGCATTCAGTTTTCGGCCACTAGAGAGGCGATTGTGGTTCACCAAAAAAAAACTACCATTCGCGCAACCAGCATAACAGTAATATCCTAAAAATCCTGCCAAACGGAAGCTTGCCATTAAACTGAATCTCAGGACTGTTCTTGTGTCGATAAAATGTGATGCAATCCGCGGAGGAATTTAGAACTGCAGTATAAAATGATCAGAGCGCAGTCGCCGATTCGTTCAGTAAAAATGACACTCTTTCGATAGCCCACTGAAGTGTCGATGATGATGAGGTATCTTTGCCTCTGAGTCGCACCTTTTTCAGGTCGCGACTTTTAACGTGCGCTCAAAATGAACAGCTGGATTCTCCAAGCAAAACCACCTGAAAAGAAACCAAGGGAAAAGCTCAGGGGTACATGGATGTGGTACTGTACAATAAGTAGTGACGTACTTTAAAATTCAGTCTGCAGATGCCAACCACTGCAGAAACCGGACCACTGGAAAAGTGGTCACGTGTAATATTAATAAAAATGAACTTCGTGTGTGAGTGTTTACTCCCTGTAGGTCATGAGGCTCTCTTGAAGCATTTCAATTATCATTTTTGGCCTTGTAGGAAAGCTGCAATCTACTTAAAATTTCTGACGTCCTCTCAGCAAAACACTTGAAACATTCCTGTTAAAAGTGTCTCTATTGCGTCAACGATTATTAATAGACAAACAGAAGATTCCCGTTCAGTTTTTTTTTCGCAACCGACTTTAAGTCGACCCTGTTTCAGTCTCCATATCAGAAGACGACCAATCGGCGAGGCATCGCTGGTCTCTAGTACATCGTCGAACTGCGTCGGAATCCAATCTCCCATCATTGTCGCAGACAATGTTACTCAATCAGTAAAGCATTGAACTCTAAGCTGAGAGGTCCTAGTTTCGCGTCCATGTCAGGCGGCAGTTGACTCGCCTTCATTCCCTCCACGGTTAATAAATAAATATCACCCTGCGGGAAACAAACAGGAGTCTACACACAATGCTTACCATATAGCTGTTGCTGGCTCTATCACTGAGAAATGAAACACTCCGGCCTGATGGAAATGGAGAACAGCGCCTGACCATTAACTTCATGAAAAGGTGCCAGAAATGCTCCATCATGAAAGTGTGATGACCGACATTCTAACGGCTATAAACTTATCTCCCGTTTTTACACTCAAAATCTGTTGTACGTATGCGAATTTGGCTAACGTGATGGTCATTTATGATATGAATGTACGTCTAATCCAAAGCACGCATTGTAAACAGTGTTGCGGGAGACTGTTCAGTCGAGTTAGCGTGCTCATTTAAATGCAGCCGTTTCCAAGCTGAACAGCTAAACCGGTTGGCGAGATCAGAACAATGAGTTTTTGGAAAAAGAAATATATTATGAGTCTACTTTTGGCATGAGAGTTAGACGGCAGGCTTGCTGCCAAAGTCAAACAGCTGAGAAAGAATATGACAAAAAAGATGAATCATAATGATGACTGATAGTCCTTTCAAACTAAGAGTTTTGAGGAGCTGCTAAATGTTGAAAAAGTTGATGTCCCAACAACCCAAAAAAGGACAGCGGGGGTGAAAACCAATATAGTAAAAAGCGATCATATGCCACCAACGTCACAGAAATGCATGTCTAGAAGATAATCAGCAGCAATTTCAACTACAGTAGAAAAAAGCGGGTGTAAAACTATGGCGCTAAGTACTTACTACGGGTTATACGTTTTCAGACAGCTGCTGAAACTGATTTCGCTTATGATCGATGTACAGCAGTGACTGCTGACTGCAACGAACATAACAGTTTTATTTTCAGAGAATGTTTTTTTTCGAATAACACCAGCTCTGTTTAAGGAGCACCTCATACGTCGAAATTCAACGTACACAGTGGGAAGGGAACAACGACAAAACGAGGGGAATGGGGTAATTATTATTCTGAAGCCACAAAATTCACTTGCGAAGCACGCAACAGTTGAACGATAAACGGCAAATCAGTCGCTGGGAGAGTCATTGTGCTTTGAAGGAAAAACTGTCTGTGTACAAGAATTTTTACACCCAGCCTCATGCAAAGATACGCCCTCCCCCCTCCACCATCACCCCCGATCCTTACAAGTGAAGTTCGGCAATCCGCACAGCAAATGAAAGAAGAAAGAGCCCCAGGGAGAGACGATCTGACAACTGGAATGATTAAAGCAGGTTGTGAGATGCGCTGTGGAGGGCTTTAGCAGAGCCGTTCAGTTATTAACTCGAAACGGAAAAGGTAAGATAAAGCTAGAAAGGGTCGAAAACAAAGGTGCTGTTCAAAACGGGTGGGAAGGAAGATCGGAAAAATTATCACTCAATCTACCTGCTCTCACAGTTCTACAACCTTTAACTGACATGTCAACAAAAGAAGACGAATGTATGCCAACAGAAGAGGCAAGATACAAAGGAGCAAAAGCAGAATGAAAAACATGTTTACCTTAAGTCAATATTTCGAGCGTGCAAGGGAATCGCAGCTCCCTCTGTGCACTGCCTTCGTCGACTACGAGAAAACGTTGGACAATGTTGAACGTAACGCAGTATGAACTGCAATGGCATAGCATCGACACCCGTTACTTCAGCTTAAAGGAAGTGAATTTTGACCGGTTCACAAGCATCACACTGTTCGACATCACCCTCCGGATTCCCATAGAGAAGGGTGTGAAGGGGCATCGTCTCTCCAAAATTCTTTACTGCCTGCTTAGAAATGATGCTCTGAGGGATGAAGAAGAATGGTTGGATTAACATCAGTGGTGAAAAGCTCAGCTTCCTAAGGTTCGCTGATGAAGTGTTCTTTACGGAAAATGTTAGTCAGTTATAAAACACGCTACAAAAGCTCTACAAAAAAGGACTGACTGCGAATTAATCGGTTAAGGACAAAAATACTGCGATACGATACTGGTCCAGGTAATGTTAAACGTCGAAAAGATTAAGCTTGATAAATTTTCCTGGGCCAAGACACCAACATACGATATAATTGGGCAGAAAAGTTCAACGGAGAAAGATGGTCGATTGGCGCGTATTCATTTCCATCAAGGAAGTCATTCTAGGAAACATCAGGAAGGATAACCGCTCCCACATTTTCAAACCTACCATCCTGCCGGATATGTTGCATGGCTGTGAGATATGGTCATTGACAAAAACCGAACAGCGCCAGCTATCCGTCACCGAGAAAGCCATGGAAAAATGACTGTTGGGAACCTCATGTCAGGACCACATCCAAAATACGATTATGGGACAGCAGACTGGAGTATAGGACTGCGTCGTTTAAAGCAGAAATAAGCTACTGCAGGCCGAACACATAACTCGACACACTGACGAGAGACCGTCGCTGACTGGTACCTTCGCGGATGGAATAAAGCGCTTGGCCGCCCAGAAAGATGGTGTGAAGATAATACCAGGAGCCGGAAAGGCCATGTTTGGAAAGAGAGAAGGTTCGAAACTGTGAGGAATGGCGGGCATGTGCGGTACGATTTAGTACGATTCAACGCAAAGTCCCAGCTTCTGAAGCTTTCCGTGTAACCACTTTGCCAAGTTTCTGGTCAGTACAGTCGTTTACCGCATCGTTCATAGTCGAATCAGTTTTTACTGTTCACAAACGTTTAAAAAACTGTTTTGCAGTTACTGTTTAAGTCCGTGATGGAACAAATGTATCCGTGGGAGGTGACTTGGTGGAGTTCAACATTTGCTTTAATTCGTCTTGGAATATCTGTGGCCATAGCCATTCATCCGGCTAAACCTGAGAAAATTTTTCGCATCAAATTCTGGCCTTCTCGACCAGATATAGCGATTAGTGCTACATCATTTTCTTGTGCACCACCCTATCTGTTCTTCGAAAAGACAAGTTCAACCAAAAATAATCCTTCTTAACAAACATTATTCAATAAACTCAGTACCTGTAACAATCGAAACAACAAGCGTAGACTGTATCTCCTTCGATTCTATCCCGACTGCACGCCAAAGTTATCTGATTAGCGTTCATGTCCTGTATCTGTATCCTGTATCCTCTAGGCATGGTCTATCGCTTACTTCAATTGCCGACCCTCCGAAATGACGTTCATAAAATTTCATTATCGCGAACTGGAGACTGGGAGTAAAGCTGTGATCGTCTTTGGCAATTACTTTGTGCCTACTATATAGCATAAAACGACAGAAAGATGATGGTGAACCTACAACTGATTGCATCCAAAAAATAATCCATGCTTATTAAAACTATTGTTTTTAAGTACTTTCTAAGTAAGCGTTTTTCCAAAGCAGTTTTCAACCTTGGCACTGGTTTTGGAGTAAAGATTACAAATATTAGTCTATCCAAATAGACTTTTCTATTTAATTACTTACTTTGCTTGGGATTCAGGGAGTGTGCAACAACTGTTAAATTCGGACCAAGATTTTGCACAAGAAAGGCATCATATTAAAGCAAAAGGATGCCAGAATAGCATATCGAACAATCTGCTCATGCGGAGAGCTACACTGAAAAAAATTTATAGAAAACTGATGAACAGGACTGGTGAACATATGGCTTGTCCTGGCAGATCAAATGAGAAGGGTTCAAA